TCCTTCCTCACCAGGACAGGTTTACAGATGGTTGAGATAGGTGGAATTATGTGTCTGGGAGGGTTAGGGGTGATCCTGAAAATCACTCCAGAACAGGGTGAGGCTTAGCTCACAGGATTCTGGCAAGTCTCCAAGAGCAAACGGATGGGTCCAACCTCCAGGACACCAAGTGGGGCAGGAGGCCTAGTTCAGGGGAAGCGCCCTACACCAACAGCACCTCCACAGGGCTCACCCCGGCCTCCAGTCTCTGCCCAGAGGCGTCCGCCGTCTGTGCCCTGCAACAAAGGCTCTCTGTGGCAGGTTGAGGCAGAGCCCGTGCTGCTGAAATGCTTCAAGGGCAGGTGCACACACACTCCTGGGTTCCAAACCCAGCTTTAGTCACTGGGAAAGGGTGGAGATGTATCTGTGGGGCTTTCCAACCGCTGATGTTTTTTTTTTCATCAGAGGAGGAACCTCAGGGCACTCAATCATCTTCAAAAGGAAAACAAAAAGCATTAAAACTACATTACTTTTTTAAACAATGTAAGGCTTTTCTACTAGTTATGCAGGTGGTTAGAAGCATGGGCAGTGAGACATAGTAGAAAGAACCAGTCTTTGAATTAGCAGACATGGTAGCTTAGCCACTGCCCAACCTTATACCAAAACCAAACCCGTTGCCTATAGGACCGAGTAAAACTGCCCCACAGGGTTTCCTCGGCTGTATGTAAATCTTTATGGAAGCTTGACTGCCACGTCTTTCTCTCACAGAGCAGCTGGTGGGTTCAAACCACCGACCTTTTGGTTAGCAGTCAAGTGCTTTAACCACTGTGCCACTAGGGCACCTTCCCGATCTTATAGTCCTCCCTTTTCCCATATGTATCAGTCTATTTGTACCTTGTTTCCTTATCTGTATAATGGGGATAATACTAATACTGATCTCATAAGACTGTGAAGGGGATTAAATAAGATATAAATGTATACAGCACTTAGGTCAGTGAGTGAAACCTGTGGGTTATCAAAAACGTTTTCTAGTCCTACAATGCAGTTTAACAGGAAGTCAAGTGAGATGCTTCCCATAATCCTGAAATTGTGGGGAATAAAACCCAACTTAAGGATAAAAAGTTCTAACTACCTCCACTTCATAAGCTCAAGGATCTGCTAAAAGTTGGGGGTAGTCATCTTCCTGTAGGATTTACCAAGTGGCACCTGTTCAGAATCAGTGTTACCACCAACCACCATCATCATCACTTCCACTCCCCAAAATGTCAAAATAAGAAGATCTAGATGAGAGAAGGTCATTGGTTTGTTTGGGTTTTGGGTTGGCGGCATTCAATGATCATGGAGACAAGGTTTGATTAAGGAGCAAGAAGGTGAGGTCCTTGCTCTCTCTGAACTCAGGACAGTGGAGGCTCTAAGAGAATCACTCAAAAATGGGGGTGCTGGCAAGAAGGGGAGCCTGGCATCCTACTCCCCAGTTGGACATCTGCTAAGCAGAGATTTGGCCAATCTGCTTCTTGGCTATCTGAGTGGAGAAAAAGAAATGGAGATAAGTTGTCCAGTGGGGGACTGCCAGGTAACAGGCCTGTTCCACCTATGTCAAGTAGAAGATGGAGCCTACACATGTCTGTTGGTCCCATGGGAGATAATGGAGGGATCGTGAGACTGAGGCCTACATTCTGACCAGAGCCACCTTAATGTGGAGACAAAGAGTCTGCATCAGGGGGATGGGATATGAATGCTGTCAGCTGGGAGTGGGCTGGAAGAGCTGGCCAAATCTCACAAAAGACTACCAAAGCCCTGGGAGCAGCACGGGAGGGAGGCCCTCATGGGCGGACCATGTTGAGACCCCCACGTTATGGCTACCCAGGAGGTGGACCGCAATTTCACCACCAGTGGAACTCTTACCTCCTCTATGTGGCCTCAATCCTGGAGCCTCAGACACTGGAAAGAGGGAAGGGGAAGGGAAAGGAAGTCAAGCCACCATGCCCCTATTCCCCTCCAAGCTCCTAAAGCCACTTACATTGGCCGGCATGGGGTAACAGAGCTTTGAACAGACTTCGAGATTAAAGTTTAAAAATGAACAAGACTGAGTCATAAATACTGACATAAAATGGTTCTAATAACTGAACGTGACTGAAAAGTTATGGATCCTGGCCAAGATATCATTAAATGAGCTACTACTCAGCAGGAAAGAAGGGGGTTCAACATAGCACAGTTGGGGGAAGCGACTGAAATACCATAAAACTATTCTGTAGTTATGCCCCAATGCATTGCACGCTCTTCTATGCTCAGAGACTTACAAGGATCATATCCCAACATCTAAAAGGGGCAGAGGGAGTGTCTCTTTGCCTTCAGACTGTACAACATCTCCTGACATGCAGCATGATGTACATGTTCCAGATACCAAAGAGTTCTAAATCTTTTCTGACTTCTTTCCCCTGTACATAGCATGCCTGGATTTTATCCATCTGCTATTCCAAAAGACACTCATGGTAGAGTCAAAAGAACATGAGCTGAAACCACACCCCAGTTCAAATCCTGGTTCTGCCACTCACTAGCCTCATGCCTTGGGGAATGTCACTCATAACCTCTTTAAGTCAAAGTTTCCTCACCTGTAAACTGAGGCTATTGTAAACTCCAACTTCAGTTGTGAGAACTGGAGCTGATGCAAATAAAGTCCTTGTCCTTAAAAAGCACAGTAGATACTTACTCATTTGACAAATATTCACTGAATAGATTCTCTATGCCTCAGGGAACAGAGAGGATAGGGGAACAAACGAGGTAGAAAGCAGGACAATGGGTAGATGACCGAGTAGTCAGGGGTCGTCTCCAGGCCACGGAGGATGAAGTTGGCCTGCAGAGCCTGTGTCACTGTAGAGCCCTGGATGCAAAAGGTGGTGAAAGTCCTGCAGGTGGTCTGCTGGGGGACACAGCCCTGTCGCTGGGGTGCAATCACTCCCAGAAACTAGGCGGAGGATGTGCCTGCCACCTACTAGCCAGCACAAGAGCTCTTCAAGGAGGAAATCATGTGTTTCTCTGAAAGGGAATTTGCATTTCCCTATGTAAAGAAGCTCTGGTGGCGCAGTGGTTAAAGTGATCGAATGCTAACCAAAAGGATGGCGGTGTGAAACCACCAGTGGCTCCATGGGAGAAAGATGTGGCAGTCTGCTTCTATAGAGATTTACAGCCTCGGAAACTCTATGGGGTCACTATGAGTTGGAATCGACCGATGGCAGTGGGTTTGTGGACCTACTCACAGGGATCCCTGGTGGCGCAGTGGTTAAGCTCTCAGTTGCTAACCAAAAGGTTGGCAGTTCAAACCCACCAGCTGCTCCGTGGGAGAAAGATGTGGCAGTCTGCTTCCGTAAAGATTAAAGCCTTGGAAACCCTATGGGGATGGGGCACTCTACTCTGTCCTATAGGGTCGCTATGAGTCGGAACCCACTCGATGGTAATGGGTTTTTTATTTACTTACCCATGGCAACACCACCACCACCTTCCCTAACAACATATATTCCACACAGTCAGCCCAGATCTCATCCCCATGATGAGGGCCCACACCATAGAGCAGGGGACTCCCAGGATGTCCCTCTAAGGGCTGGGGTTAGGGCTGACCACACTCCAGCTGCTTCTGAGACCTCTGGAAGCAGCATGATGATGCCTGGCTTCGGGCAGGACGAGCACATTAGAGTTCTCGCTCTGGGACTTCCAGCAGCCCTACTCTAAGACATGACATACCCACAAGGCACCAACAACGGCCCTTTACATCCGCACCCCTAATACAGGAAGAGTCAAGCATTCAGAGACACAGCCAGGAAAACCAAGCTTTCAGGACACAGCAGAGGCAAGGAACAGGCCTCAATGGAATCTTTAACATTTGCAAACTTACGTACTCCATTTGGCTGCTTCCTTCCTCACTGCTCCCCTCCTCCCCACCCTGGCCACTGGAGTCGTTGTGTACATCTTTTCAGAAAGCAACCTTGCTAGGGAAAGGTGGTATCATCTGAAACCCAACTGCTTTACCTGTCCTGGGAAAACTGGAGGCAGGTGTAAACTAATGAGTTTGGGAGGATGCCAGGGCCTATGGCAGCCTCTGAGCTGGCAGCTGCTCATATTTACAAACAGGGGAGAGGGGAGGTTTCCAAGACTAAATTTTGCCTGAGGAGGCTGAGAATTTGGACCAGTCGTCTCCAGACCAATACTTAATTTAACAGCGAATCATTAGCAAACACTAATGTGCTAATTAACCAACAAATCGGAGTTAATTAAAAACCAATCAGGATGTAAAAATGTAGCACCTCATTAATAAATCCAGTACTCTTTCTTTTAAGAGCAAAGAAAAGTGCTGCTTCTTCTAATAGAAGTAAGAGATATGACTAGGTATTATTTTTCCTGGGAGCTGTACAGTCTAAATATGTTCTGGGGTTAAGAGTTCTCTCTCCCTCAGATAAGACCTAACTTAATAATCAACTGAATTGCCAAATAGGTGAATCAAGTCAGCATTGTTTAGCCAAGCCCTACTTAGACCAAAGCAACTGTCTTACATGGTGGCACGGTTGAATTTACAACCTTGGAGATGGGGGCGATTAACCAGTAAGCAAGGTACGCACGGGCTTAATTGTGCTTACTTACTAATCTGTACTGCACAATTTCACATGCATTTTTTCACCTGACTTTGATGAAATCCATGTAAAATTGTGCACTACAGATTAGTAAGTAAGCACAAGTAAGCCCATGAGTTCTTTGTTTATTGGGTAATCCTGCTTGGAGATTTTTTGGGTTGTCAAAAGTTGGTATCCTCTGGTGTATGTTTTGTTATGCATATTTTCACCATAAAAAAATTAAAAAAAAAAAAAGTTGCCATCCTCAAGTCTAAACAAGCACTGAGCTATCTGAAAGAAAACAAACCCAGAAGAGCCCACCAGCATCCTTTGTCTTAACTATATTGACGTTCTCAATAAGTAACAGGTGGGCACTTCTAACGACGAAAAGGCAGTTTAGTGACAAGCACTCTGACTCACCTTCTGCAGAAAGCCCCTGGATGTTTATTCCCTTCGCTGCCAGGAAATTCAAGCAGGCATCTATGTTTTCAATCTAGGGGGAAGAAAACAACAATACACGCTCAATAAATGCTCACTGCCCCCCAATGCCATCTATTGTTAGCGACAAAGGACTATGTCAGAGAGAGGGTTCACTGTGTATTGGCTAAGGTTCTCAACCAGGAAAAACAGAACAACATCAAAACACCTGATGGATGGGTGCAGGTCAGGACTTTCCTGTCTGTACTTGCACAGGAAAAGGTTACCCAATGTCCCAACCACAGGGCTCCAAAAGTCAAGGGCCTGCATTGCTCACAGCTGCCAAAAATAACCAGGTTGGAATTGGAGCTCTTATACTGATCACGGTCACCAGTGCAATTCTGAAAACCTGAGCAGCTGCCAGGGCAGTGGAAGTGGAGACGAGGTTAGCGACCCACCCAGCTATTGGCAGCTGGCATGAAACTTCCAGAAGCAAGCAGTCAAATGTGAAAACGGTGCATGCAAGTTTCAGCAGGAATCTGGGCAATGTTTACTCACAAAATTCTCAGGATGGCAGGCATTGTAGATGACCAGAAAGGGCCTACGACATTTTTGACCCCCTCTATCTTTTCTGCTCTCTTTGGCAAGAAGAACCCACCAGAGTCTGGAAGCCTCCCTGTTTTGCACTGCTGATGCCATGGCTAAGGGCAATCCAATGCCCAGTCCTCAGGAAAGAGCATTTGGGTCAGTCCCAAAGATCTGAACTGACTTCAGTTGTCAGGGCTAATTATTTTTCGGTTTAAAGGAAAATGTTCTGGCTTGATTAATGTCAATAGTGACCACTAGTGAACAAAATTGCTTTTGACTTGGCCCAGGGATCTTTGAACTTCACACAATTTGCAGTTCATAACAGAGACCCCCATGTTCCTCCACAACCACTCCACTCCACGTGACTTCCCAGGTGCAAAGTTTTTATGAATTCAAACCAATATTTAAGCCACAGAGTTTATTTTAAACCAATAAATGATTGCACATGTGACCACTCTCCCCACCTCCAAGCAATTTCCTGATGCTCCTGCACAGACACAGAGAGCGAAGCCTCTACATTTTAAGAGCACTGCAAACGGTTAACGTGCTCAGCTGCTAACGGAAAGGTTGGTGGTTTGAGTCCACCAACATATCTTGTACATGGCTGAGAAGTCACACTTCGGCAATTATGCCCCCACGGAAAATGAGAAAAAGAAAAGAAAAGCTGACCATCCCTGTATCTGCTAATGCAAAAGCAAAAATGGTATATACTTGGTATTTATCCTTAGAAGTGTCATGTAGGTGGGCTAAGGTATGGAGGTTAATTGTTTTTTCAGTGACAGTCCATCAGTGTTGCACTGAAAACAGAAAGATACCCACCAATATATTCAAGAAAAGTGCTGCTCTATTATAATGCTGCATTTCTACTGAACTTTCCTCTCAAGAAGTATAAAGTACATTTCCTTGTCCCATTTATGGAGCATTCAACGCACATAGCATCATTTAAGACACATGTTGGAGTCTTCTTGCAAGACTAGCATTGATGCTTTTCAAATTCAGTCATACACTGATTTCTTTTAATGTTAAATTCTATGAAAGAAAAGAGTAACCATAAATAGGTTACTCAGAATACTTCCTCCTCCTGTTGTTAATTTTTTTTAAAGTCCTATCATTCTTCCATAGAATTTCATAATTAAGATCTGTATCGCTCCACTTGTGTGTGGGAGGAAAGAAAAGCCCCCCCGCTCCAGGGACATCTGACATCATCTGGCAACATTTTGGGTTGTCACAACCCGGGGAGGAAGGAAGGGTTGTCAATGGCATCCAGTGAGTCGAGGCCAGGGATGCTGCTAAACATCCTACAGTGCACAGGATAGCCACTCACAGCAAAGAATTATCCAGTCCAAAATGTCAATAGCGTCGAGGTTGAAAAACCTTGAGTCTATGACTTTTTCAATCATTCATTCAATTAACATAATCGTGAGGATGCCTGCTCTCTGCCAGCCACTGTGCTCAATTGTTTTAATATGGTGTTGGTTTTGGCAAGTGTTGCTTGATGGAGAAAGTGAGGTAAGGAGGTCAGATTCTTGACCAAGATTACAGAGGTCAATGGCAGAGCTGTGGCTAGAACCCAGGAGTCCCCTTTCCCTGTCACAGGAGCTCACATTTACATAATCCTCCTACTTGGGGTCCACAGAGCCACTTGGCACTCCCCTCCCCCATTCCTGTTCATTTCAGGGAGAATCAGAGCATATAAATAAGGGAAGCGTTAGGATCTGAGTTCATTAGGTAAACAGGGGAGGCAGAAGGGTACCAAGGACAAGTTCTTCTACAGAGGAGATGAAATACGGGCAGCAATATCCAGATGGCCTCATTGCACTCCTAGAAAATGTTAAAACTATAAATCAGAACTTGGGTCATCATTTAAAATCTATCCATAAGCCCATCAAGCACCTTGAATCTTTCCCCTTCACTATGAATTCTCTGCTCACAGAAGGAGTTCAAAAAGCATTCTTCAAGTCTCAAATCCACTCTTTAATAACGTTCCATTAAGGTTAAAAATCACTCCTAACAAGGAGGCTGAGACCCACACTCTTTTCATCTGCACCCCAGGAAGAGAGCGAGGCTGGGAAGCAGAATTGGGTCAGATGTGGATTCCAACCTCCCATTTCATTTGGAATGAGATCAGAAGGGGAGACTTTCTTTGATCCAGGCTTTCTTCTGATTCAAATTCACCTCCAGGTTTTCTTACAAATACTATACAGGTAAATAACCATCCACATGTACCATCGAAACTGCAAACTCCCACCATATCCCAGGAGGGAAACAGGCCCAGTGGCAGGTCCCACCTAGTACTAATGACAGCATGAGGCTGTCCTTTAAGGAGGCTCTTGGGGCTCTCGGGGCATGTGTGATCCAGACACATAGTGTCGGATGAGGATCCTGATAAAGTTGGGAGGCAGGGAGATGGAAAAGATGCTTAACCAGCAAAGTATGTAAATATGACCAAAGCTGTTCATTAACACGTAGCGGCCAATGTAAACTACTTTCCAAAATTAGCTGAAAAATCTGTGCGAAGTCTAACATTCCAGTATTGCTGAAAGGGGGCAGGGAGCGGCACTGGGCTAGGAGGCTATTGTAGCTGTTGCCATAGAAATGCATCCAACTGGTCTGGGATCAAGTTGCTGGCGTCTGCAGCATTAGCTGGGGTGGGGTGAAGGTGGGGAGCACAGAAGAGGGAGTAGAAAGGTGCTGGATGAAGGAGGGAGGCCAAGAAAAGGGACCGACAAAGACCAGGATGCACTTCTCCAGGCTTCCCTTGGTTCAAAGCCAAATGTGGCCTCTACTCTGTGCAGCCCATGAACATCCAACAGAGGCTGGAAGGAAGCCCTTCTCCCAGTCTCAGTCGGATTCTCGATCCCAGAGTTGAATGGTTTTTCAACAGTCTCTGAACTTTCGACTTGCAGGGCAACTTCCGTAGGCTCTGTACGTTGCAGCCTCCACCCGCCATATCCAGGAGCTCATCCCCACCGAGCTCATCCCCACTGAGGACAGACAGACAGCAAAAGAGCTCCCCTGAGAAAAAGCAAAACAAATGCCCAACAAGTGGAAAGAGAAAAAGGGAGGGGAGAGGAGGGCAAATGGAAAATTTCACATTTCAATCATGATCAAGGCTGGACTGGGCTTCATGATACCATAAAATATGCAGACCTCGGAAGCACTGCTGTATGTCTTCTCGGTAGCTTAGAGACTGATCAAATACCATCTGTTGTGGCAGTTGTCATGGCAGCATTTTCTCCAAATACCAGTGTAGCGGAGTACAAAGCGCATGGAAATGATGAATGCAAACGAAGACCTCTACGGGCACTCCTGCAGCCCAGGGAAGACGGTGTTCCAGGCACAGCAAGTAAATAGAGCGGTAACTGTTCTTATGACCCAAGTTTCTCACTAGGACCCTTGGAGATCTTCATCGTAGGAGGAGGAAACTGGGAGGGCAGGCAAACAGTGATGCCTTTAGTCAGGCAAGGCCACGGATGCCTCCTCGCTCTATAGTCTTGCACTGCAAGCCTAAGCCCACAAAAGTTTCCTGGAGGCAGCACCTTCACACCTCCAGGCCAGAGCTCTTGCTCAGTCCCAGTGCCTGCATTAGGTCATCTCCAAGTCTGCTCTTCAACATCCCTCTCACAGCAGAGACATTCTTTTAAAATTATGAAATGCCTAAAGCCTAGGCAATGGGGGGCCCAGACCCCAGATGCTTAAGTGAGAACTTTAAAGTTCTTGTGACTTTAAAAGCACAGCATAGCATCTTCATGAAACTCACACATCACCTCAAACAACTTCCTTCCAGAAGTACGTGTGACTCGAACACCTGATATTGCTTCTTGCCAACAAAAATAATGATCATTCCTTCTCATATTTACTGAGCATCTACGGGGTGTCAGGTAATATGCTGGTGCTGGGTATAGAGTGGTGAACAAATAACATAACCCCTGCCCTTGTGGAGCCTACAGTCTAAGGTAGGGGGACTGGCATTAAATAAATAATGCACCAATAAGCATGTGACTAGAAGCATTGGTGGTTTACTGGTAGAATTCTTGCTTTCCATGCGAGGGATCCAGGTTCAATTTTCAGCTGATGTCTCTCAGGTACTGCCACCACCTGTCTGTCAGTAGAGGCTTGCGCGTTGCTGTGATGCTGAACAGGTTTCCGCGGAGCTATCAGACTAAGACTAGGAAAAAGGGCCTGGTGATCTACTTTCGAAAATCAACCAGTGAAAACCCTATGGATCACAACAGTCAGATCTACAACCAATCATGAGGATGGCGCAGGACTGGGCAGCATTTCGTTCCATTGTGGATGGCATTGCCATGAGTCAGGGTCCACTGCCACAGCAGCTAACAACAACAACAAAGTAAGTGACTACAAGTTGTCATGTTTACTACAAAAGAGAAGAGAATGCTGGGGAAGCATATAGTAGAAGTCCTGATTTAGCATGGAAGGGCCATCAGCGAACTAGCTCCTAAGGAAGAGAGTGTGTAGGTCCAGAGA